GATTCGAGCACATCTCTTCTCTGACTCTCGCTGCTCCACGATTTCTGCCGGCCTCTTCACCCCCACCAGACCAGCCTCGTTGTGTACTCTCTTCATCTTCCATCGTATCTCTCTTCGTATTTCCCTTGGTCTCTCGCCGCGTTGCGCCTCTCTCCGACCCTTGCCCCTGTCCCCGCCTGCCCCCACCGCTCCTCCACGGTCTCCGTTTCGCCCCCGAAACCTAAACCACCGTCACCGTGGTGGTACACCGACACAGATATAGAGTCAGCCGTACCGGCAGAGCTATCTGTTGTTATCACCAGTTATTTGCATCCCTTCGTAGTCGGTGGGGTGGCTGCCGCTACCGCTGCGAGCAGGAGGATACGTTCGCACGATGATGGGGTGGCGAACGGGAGGACAGAAGAGGGTGGTTACAGGGAGACGGACACAGGGGGCTGACGGTGGGGGAGGGGTCTTGAAATTCTCCGGAGCTTTACTTCCCGGGAATATTACACGCCCCGCCGTGAGCTCCCGCCGATTCCACTGATTCCTCATCTTTCGCCCTTTTTCCTAACCGTTTCGGTCTTTCGCGAAACCAGATGCGCAACAACGCGCTCGTATTTATGCCCTTCTCGGTTAGATGAATTTCGATTTGATGGAACGTCGCCCGTGTTTCGGATTTAAACGGCTACCAACCCCCGCCTCGTCTCGCTCTTTTTCGATCTCCCTCTTTTTATCGCCGTTTCTTCTTCGCCTCTTTTGTCCTCCTCGCTGCTCGACTTCTTTCAGAAGTTGTTTCGAATTCGAACCACGATCGCATATCGTATGGAGAATACAAATTTCTTTTTAACGAGTTAAATGTAGGCGTCCGCTAAAGACTCATCCTTAATTAACCATCGAACACTGGATTCTTCGTCGTTCAGATCTGAGATGCGGGCAAGAATGTTGCGATTATGAAATGCAAATTATTTAAACGTGTAGTAGAAAATATTTAAGTTGTAAATGAGGTACATGATAATTTGTAAATGAGGTATAAGATTCAATTTTATTTGTCTCCCCATTTAAATGTATTCCAAATTAAAGATTTCGATACTCTAACATATCTAAAGATGTCTCCAGTTTGTTTTACTGCACACGAAAGTGTCAGCGAAGGTGTAGCCAAAGGAGAAGGTCGACTTACTCAAAGGTTAGGGATTAAAAATGTATGGCACCGATATCGATTAACGTCAATGTGTCAGTCGTAATCCCGAGCCCCATGTCCGATCCCAACAAACGGATTAATTCGCGTGCCACGTTCGTTATAAGATTACCAGTGCGTAAGTACCTCGTTGAAGCACCCTTAGCCCCTGACGAGGGGCGCGTTAAAGTCGTCCCCTTCTCCGCAGGCAAGCAACATCAACGTCGGCCACGATTTTCGTGTGTCGCGCGTACAAGAAGCTGGCACACAATTTGAATGTTACCGTATTGTCGTCACGTGGAAGTGCGCGAATGTCTCTCGGTGACGACGTTTCGTTGTCGTCCGTAGAAAGGTATCCCCGGTCGACGGAAAGGGACGATGCTCGGAAAACGAAAGAGAAAAGCCGAGACAGTGGAACGAGCGAAAGAACACAAAGGAGAAAAAAGAAGCCGGAGAATGTAAAAAAAAAGAAGGGAAGAAAGAAAACAGAAGGCAAGGGGAGAAAGAGAGAAAGAACAACAGAGAGAGAAAGAGATCGCGGAAGAACACCGACGAATCAACGGTGTTTAAAATTCCCGTGAGGCTTCGCGGTTTCGCGCTTCGGGAAAAAGAGGTGGGAAAAGAGAGAAGAACGAGGTTGGTGGGGATCGAGGTTGAAGGGGTTGCTGGAAAGGCGGGTGGAAGACCAAGAGGAAGCGAGGAGAAGGGGTTGAGCGTTCGGAGTCGACAGATTGCCGAGGGGACAAATAAGAGTGTATCCAGTCGCCAAACGCGACGAGGCGAATTTCGGGTAAATTGTTTCCCCCGTGCCTCCCTCTCGTTCCTCTTTTCACCCTGCCTCTTCGGATTCTCTCGCCATCGCCCAGAGGAGATTCACTGGTGTCGTGGAAGCGACGATTTAAATTTGGGGTACTTGCCCGCAAGCCGAACCACCCTTATGGACTCGGGGATGGCCTTCACCTCTCGCGATTAGAGATCATCGATTTCAAATCGTTATGCTTTAATCTTCCTCTTCATTCTTTTTTCAATTTATATACAACTATTTCTTGTTATTCTGGCGTAACTATAATTTTTATCTAAACTTGACGTAACTATAATTTTTATCCAAAGTTGACTACAATTTTTTTACAAAGTAACTATAATTTTTACCGAGGTTCGCTTTATTAACCTTTAATCTAGGTGGATTTTTGAACCGTAACAATCGACAAGTCCGCAGAGGCTTTTACTTACGTTAATGATTCCCTCATTATTTACGGAATACGAATCACGGTTTGACGTCATACAGTGCACAATTACGGGGATAAAATTTGGCCGAGGTGGATGGTTCGAGCATTTATCTATGAGGTAAAAGGCTTTCCCGAGGGACTGTTGTCTTTTGGGAATTCCTAGAATCTATTTAGAATCGTTACGCCTTGACCCAACCTATTGTGTGACTTGAGGTTCACAGAGGTTGACCTTATTTCTCGATCGAAGTGCGCTTATTATATGAGAGATAAAACTCGATGCAATATGTTTTTATAATTCTTTGTACAGTGAACAGAAAATAAACACAAACAGGTAGGATAAAATGTCAAAGAAAAATGTTAGAAAAATAACGAACACATTGGAAGCATACGAAGATTCACATGCTTGCTTTGCAGACATATTAACAAGAAATAAATAAATATATCAATATGAGTTATGAGGAACTATTTTATTTAAAAACTAGTGAGTTGCATTTATAAAAGATTTATTGGGGATGATGGACCCAGTATGATGATACTATAAGATTTATACTGTAAGATTTAGCGTAGTTTTCTTGTAAGATAATTTATAAGAATGTTCTACTTAAATAAAAATAACACAAAAATTTAAGCGGACATAATCTTCCTCCGCAGGTACATCGCAGTACAACCGGAAGCATGTCTGGCTCAGGGCGGTGCGAGGAGCGCTACGAGTGCTTTCGCACATTACCCCTCGCAACAGGCCAATTAGCACCGTTTCAGGGTGTGATGTGAACGGTCACCTAACTTCCACATATAGTGGGCTCCGTTACCAAGACAATCTGTGCACCGTACGAAAAGTCTCGATGAATAATAAATGCATTATATGCTCAATTAACTTTTCCCAAGTCTATACTTCCGTGTATTTAGCATTTTTTTGCATCATTATACCTTGCATTGTGACGTCCTAATTATAATAACAACATCCCTCGAGTGATTCAGAAATACCTTTTTTAATTCAAATATGCTTTAACCCCTTGGACATTAAATTCGTCAAGAATGGTACTTTTATTTTTAATGAACCTAATAGATTATTCTGTCTGATTCTTTATAAAATATTCTAGGGAATATTAACCTTCACTGAGGGCGGAATATTAAATTATCGAAAATATGATGTCGAATATCGATATAAAATGAAGTATAAATTTTTACAGGAGAGGGACTCGTCGAACTAATGCGAAAATTAGGCACGCATAGTGCGTATCTATGCAAGCGTACATGGATCCCTCGTCCATTGAAAGCTATATCGTACACCGTATGTCCCCGTTCGCGGCTTAACAAAACGCGTACGTTGTGTTCGAGGCAGCGAGGGATCCCTTGAAATCCTTTAAATTCTGAATCGAATCCATCGCCGCGAAGCCATCGTCATTTATCCGTTCACGGAATTCAGATTGTCGAAGGAAATTTGTTCGCCCGTCGACGCATTGACGATGACAAAAACTAACGTATCTTACGTATCTTTTCGATCTCAGATTTACACGAAACTAGATATGATCATAAAAAAGTGTGATCGATGTGTCACGTTGAGTGACCTAATAACTTAAACGATAAATGTTTATTGTATTCCTGATAATAAAGTTTTTAATATAGTTTAGCAGAATCAAAATTGATAGTAATTAATACTAGTAATAATAGATAAAGAATTTGAAAAGCAACGACACAGATATTCAATACGAAACCATGAAAGATTGACCCGTACTACTTACGCTTGCCGAGCTACGGCCTCCTCGTTCCCAAACGTTCGCCGCTTACCGGGAACGAGAACAAGCATCCCCATTCTAAGATAAACTCGCGAAAGGTATTCACGTTTCAATTCCAACGCGCATTAAAGATCGATATTCCAGTCGTACGCGGATTCTTCTCCGCCAGTGTAAACACATCCTCGATACGTTTACACGTCCGTACGAGGCAAAGAGACACGAAGAAGACAGTCGTCTGAAAAAAGGAGAAAGATTCTCTTTCGCCTATATCTGTTTTCTGCCTCCTTTTTTTTTCATCCCCGCAGCCACGCTCCAGAGTCCCTCTCTGTTCCTCTCTTTTAGTGCCGCCCTCTTCTTTTTTTCTTCCTTTGGCCCGTTGTCCTCCTCCCTCGAACGGCCTTGCCGTCCCTTTTCTTTCCATCCGTTGCCTCAAAATGTGGCATTCAACAGGGCTTCCACGGTGCTTGCGGTGGTGCGGAATCCGCGCCGGTTTGCCGCGACGCGACGCGGGGTGCACCGGGGAAATGATGCGCAGATTGGCCGGATCATCTCAAAAACCACCACCCTCTGCCTCCAGCCCTCCTCCTGCTGCCGTTCGTCCCCCTCTGATTCTCTCGCTCCCTCTCCCGTCCTCGTCGTATCGCTTCTTCGTGTTCCGTCTCTGTTGTTCGCCCGTACTCTCGTCGTCGACGGTCGCCAGGGGATGGAATACAACCCCCACTTTCCAGCACCGCCGCCGAACAACCACCCTGCCACCGCTGCTTGCCACGGTACCCGACGACGAGTGACTGAGTCCTCCGATTATTATCTCATTTGCTGGCACGAGCAGCACGCGACGCTTGTGCAGCATCGCAGGATCCGTAGATCGCCGCGTCTGGATCACCGACACCGGACCAACAGGACCCCCTAGAACCCACCACCCCGTGCAAACTGTCGCCGCTTGTGCAGGTGAGTCAAATCGGTTCTACACCTTCTTTGCTCCTTACGTCCTACATCAATTTCACGGTCACTTGTTTCATTTACAAACAATCTTAATCTGCACGAAAATTTCTTGCAATACCGATCTCGGTTAATTTCTGATATTTTTGATACTTTAGTTTGTCGAGTCGAGTTAGAAAAGGTTTTATAAAAAATACGGTTCTACACCTTCTTTGCTCCTTACGTCCTACATCAATTTCACGGTCACTTTTTTCATTTATCTTGTTACAAACTTAATGTACACGAAAATTTCTTGCGATACCAATCTCGGTTAATTTCTGATATTTTTGATACTTTAGTTTGTCGAGTGGAGTTAGAACAGGTTTTATAAAAAATACGGTTCTACACCTTCTCTGCTCCTTATGTTCTACATCAATTTCACGGTCACTTTTTTCATTTATCTTGTTACAAACTTAATGTACACGAAAATTTCTTGCGATACCGATCTCGGTTAATTTCTGATATTTTTGATATTTAAGTTTGTCGAGTGGAGTTAGAACGTTTTTCGTTGAATTTTGAAATGATAATTTTTTGATGAATTATTCTTGTACTTGTAGATAAAATGACTAGAAAAATATTTTTTTAATACGTTTTGATTTGACACGTGTTTTTGCTGACGACATTAACCCTGTCAGAGCCGATTTTCCCAGCAGTCAGTTTAATAATAAAGGTAGATTAATACTGAATTTTTGAGCAGAAATATTATATTACAAGTGCAGTGTATATCATATTACGAAAATAAGTTTTACAGTATGTTTTGCATATAAAACAAAATAAATGTCGTGTGCATTATAACATGGCTCGGGAGGATTAAAAGGGTGAGAACTTAAGTGGGGTTGAGAAATATATTTGGCTGAATATCCTCGTACACCGAAACAATACTCTTTAATATTTAAATTGCATTTAAACAGAGATCTTGAAAATCTGAATCACATACAAAAAAGCATATACAATTTTGCAGTTTACCTGACGTTAATTTGTATCGATTATAAATTCACGCGTTAGATATAATTTAATATCGATGCAGTGGCTGACAAAATATTTCAGTAGTCGAATGAATTTGTTGTAAAAGAGACTTGAGTTTGTTGTAGTTTAGTGAAAGGATTAATATGGCTTGACAACAAAGATTATAAAACACCTGTTCTCTATCGGTTTAAAGCTTAAATGCAGCTGGAAATGAATGTGTAAATGTTTTGACATGAACTGGCTAGTTGATTAGAAAAAAATGGTTGAAAGGATCAATCACAGAGTTTAATTTTTTCCAGAGTTTAAATGCAACGTTGCATCCCTGCAAATTGAAAGTTCTATGGAATATTTGAGTCTCTATTTTGAAGAGGTCTCGCTCTTATTTTTACAGAAAAGTTCAATAAAAAAGAAATAGTTTTTGAATTTATAGTTGACACCTAAAGGATCAATCTACAAAAAACGAACCGAGTCAAAAAAATTGTAACCTCAACAAAGTGCATTGAACGTGAACAAGTTGCAAAGTTATAAAAGTTGCTGTTTCGATGATCGAGTGTTGACCATTGCAATCTAGCTTGCAAACGAATAGTGAAGTCCACGTGGAAACGCGTAAGCATCATCGATGACGGGTACAGTAATAAAAAGAAGTGGCAGAGAGCAACAAGCTGGCACTACGTGCATCGAAGTAATTAACAACGCGAAATGTAAATAGGTTATAAAACAGTTCTATTTTTATTAACGACTCGAAATGACACGGGCTTATATTTATACACGAGGACACGTAAACGAACAAACCGAACGGTGTTTGCGATAATTACAAAGCGACGTCATAGTTCGATGACAAGATAAATAGAAAGAGTGAAGCTGGATAGAGAGGATCGGTCGGAAATTAGCATGCAACGTGAGTATGCACCGAGTATCGAATATCCAATAGTAATTCATAATGCAATCCTAGATTGATCCTGTTCGCTGCTTTGAATCGCGTGTTTTCCTTTGCACAATAATACTGATTACATGTTCGTTATGCCTGCATTTAAATGGACGAAAACCGGCAAAGATTAATTGATATATCAAGTTTAATCCATTTGAGAGGCTGAATAAGTTCTGTGAGTAATGAAAGCTGTAATCAATTTTGTTTTCGGGGGTGGTTAAGTGATTGCTGGAAATTTGGTACTTTGGGTGTTTGGGAATTGGGGAAGTTGAGAGTTTGGGGATTTGGGAGTGGGAAATTAGGGAATTGGGAATTTGAGAATTTGGGAATTTGGGGATTTGGAAAATTGGAAACTTGGGAATTTGGGGATGTGGGAATTTGGGGTTGTCGAAATTTTGGGATGTGGGAATTTGGGGATATAGGAATTTGGGGGTGTGAGAATTTCGAAATTTGTGAATTTGGGGGTGTGGGAATTTGGGGGAGTGAGAATTTGAGAGCTTAGGAATTTGGGGGAGTGAGAATTTGGGAGCTTGAGAATTTGGAAGATTGAGAATTTGGAAGCTTGGGAATTTGGAAGCTTGAGAATTTGGAAGCTTGAGAATTTGGGAGCTTGATAATTTGGGGGAGCGAGAATTCGAGAGCTTGGAAATTTGGGGGAGTGAGAAATTGAGAGCTTGAGAATTTGGAAACTTGGGAATTTCGAAGCTCAGAAATTTGGGGGCAGAAATTTCAGAAGTGAAGAATTTCAAGAACTTGAAAATTTGGAAGCTTGAGAATTTCAACCCTTGGAAGTTTAGCCTTAAATCACCCTTAAATCACCACTCTAAAAATACAATAATCTCAAACTAAATTACCGCCTACCAAATTTCAGAATTTTCGACATCCCAAACGTAGACATCAAAAACCTCGGAAGCCTACTTTCACCTCGACCCTTAACCTATATTTCAAAGCACTTCCCTCAAGAGTATCAACATCAAGCTTTAACATCCTTTGCTCCAACCTTAACACGTTGATTCTGTAAGACAATAGTGTGCACCTCTGTTACCGTAAGAGTCCTCCAACGTCGAAGCAAATTTCGCATAAATTGTGCAAGGTTAACGCTTCTGCGTAGGATCGATTTCCCTTTGATCGTCGGGCAAACTTGGCGGAGTAAGACCACCTAAACGAGTGACTTTGGAAAGTTCGTTCCTTGTTCGCGTGTTCGAGATGGTAGCTCGAAATCAATCAAAATTATCTATCACGGTACAGTCAATCGATGTTGATTAACGCGGGGCAAAAGAACGGGAACAAAGGGTGAAATAAAAAAGGAAGAAACTGAAGAGCGTTTACATCGAAAGCCTTTTTAGTCCCTTTTATTTCCCGAGTTAATCTCTTGAACCAGCAATCTGGCTGTCCCCACGTGCTCCTTTGTTTTCGTTCCATACTCCTTTTTTTTACGCGGCCTTTGCCGGCGAGTTCACAAGCCGGTAATTGGAATTTTGTAACGAGACTGGGGGGAACACTTTCGAGAGAACGAATCTGCTGAAAATTGTGATTACAGAGCCGTTTAATTAATGTATGATATCATAACATCGTAATAGTGTCTCTCCGTTATGCTTTAATTAAATGTAGCTTCATAAAAGTTTAACCCATCCGACCCCGGTACATCCTATCGATATACATCTAGATTTGTTCGCATTTTAATTTAAAGTTATGTCACGAGCCTGTTGTGCAGAATTTGGAAGCTTGAGAATTTGGGAGCTTGATAATTTGGGGGAGCGAGAATTCGAGAGCTTGGAAATTTGGGGGAGTGAGAAATTGAGAGCTTGAGAATTTGGAAACTTGGGAATTTCGAAGCTTGAGAATTTGGGTGAGTGAGAATTCGAGGGTGTGGAAATTTGGGAATGTGGGAATTCGGGGGTGTGGAAATTTGGGGATGTGGAATTTGGGGGGTGTGGGAATTTGGGGGGTGTGGAAATTTGGGGATGTGGAAATTCGGGGATGTGGGAATTTGGGGTCGTCGAAATTTCGTAATGTGGGAATTTGGGAATACAGAAATTTGGGAGTGTGAGTATTTCTAAACTCGTAAATTTGGGTATTTGCGAAATTAGGAAATTAGAAATTTGGGGAAATGCAAATTCGGAAATTTTCAAATTTAGAAATATAGAAAATTCTACCTTAAGATTTACAAACCCTACCCTCCAAACACCCAGTAATTAAAAATAACCTAAAAAATACCCAAAAAATATAAATGCAAAAAAATATAAACGCAAATCTACAGCATCTCTCCACACGAATAACGTCAGCAAGTGATAAATCAGTAAACCAGCGTGACTCCGAGCTCCATAAGGCGTTAAAATCACTTGACCTCTCCTTTAACCACGTTCGAAAGATTCTTATCGTCGTTTCGTTATCCATTGCACATTTAGCATCGCTGCTTTTACGTTTACAAAGAGGTTGAAATTACGCAGAGAGTTGAACCGTAAATGAAACGGAGTTCTGCTGCGACTGACATTTTTTTCTTCTATGTAAGATAGGATCGTTTCATGTCGGGAGTCTCCCGCAATAAAAATGTTTATGTGGACGGTAAAGGGATCGCCGGTTACTTGAAGGGAAAATAAAGACGTATGCCGCGTCGCGTAAAAAAGAACGAGCTGAATATGTACCGAGATCAAAAATTAATTCACTTCTTAACTTCTGTACGTTCGTATCTTGACCTCGATGATTTTCTTATTTAGACTTGAGTATTGGTTAACTTCTTTTTGGAATCAATCTTTTTAATCTGCCATCAATTTATTTTGAATTTTGTATGGAAATAAATGTTTGTTCTAAATGTTTAAGTCAGGGTACTCAAATGTACATTGTCTAATATTGTTTAAAATTATTTATTAATATTAAAAATGTTTGGACAAATGATTTTGGGAATTTAGGAAATTAGAAATTGAACATCTTTATTGACATCTTTATGACATTTTTATTAACGTCTTTATCCTAAAAAAATACAAAGTCTCTCTTAAGAAAATGAATCTATGAAAAGATATAAAAAGCGAAATAGAATGCAAGAACACGGAATAAAATAATGTAACGAAGGTCGAAT